AATGTTGAAAAATCACTATGACATTTATTGGACTAATTTACTGTTAATTAATCGTATAAGAAATAGTAGAAAATAAAAAAATATTCATTTCTTTAGACCATTATTGAACAGTATAAATAATAATGCGGATAAAATATAGATATAGTTTGTTTTAAATAGAGACTATTGTCAATTCTTAGACAATGGAGAAACCGACTTGTATCACTGATCAATCAATAATATTCAGGGAATAAGACTTTTCATTCAACAAAAATAGTTACTGAGGATGTAAAATCATATTTATATAGATTTAATAAAGACTGGTATTGTATTTCAAATTTTTGGGAAATGACAAACATTGAATTTAACTATTTAATGGCTAATGATAAAATGGTAGGATGAAAATAGCATATAGATGAGAAATAATTACTCCCTTGATGAATATTAAGAAAAGAATAACTGAGTTTTACATTAGTAACAAGTAGTACCTAGTAAAAAGTTAGAAAACAGTAATAACAAATGCTTGTAATGTTTTAAAACTAGAACAATGAGACAGGGAAACTGAACATTTTGTATCCACAGTCATTTAGATTAAATCGATGGATTACTAAAATTTTCATTTAAGTCAAATGCTTTGGCTGTATGAATTACTTTGAAATGCAATTTTGGTAGGGCCAGAATTTCTGAGGTGTTTCAAAATTGACCTACTGCTTATTCATTTTCACAGGAATATAAGGTGACGATCGCTAACTGTAATCCTAATTCATAACATTATGAGCACTATTATCCACCACAAAAATGAGTACATTAAGCATAGTATCATTACACAAAAGACTTATTCTAATCAACATTAATTTTTTTTACAAAGAATTGATCAAAAAATAATTTACAATACTGCACTATCGGTAATTGTTAATGAATACGATTTATTCTAAAAAATTATATTGTAATCATAAATAAAAATTAACTTTTGCACTGATCACTGATTTTTCTACCCTTTGAATGCTAACGTGTACTTTTTTAATACTAAAACCAAGTCCTTCATACCAGTTATTATTATAACAATCACGTGTCTATTTATGTGCCTGTGTTTTTATGTGTATTTTAGAAACTAAGCATTTCTTGTTGTAAATATATATATATATATATATATATATATATATATATATATATACCACAATTTCTAAATCGCTTTATTCTTTGTTACTGTCAAAACTGTTAGTTGACAATCTTTTAACAATCAATAAATCTTTATTTCTACATAGAAAAACAAGTTCTGAAATCATTTATTAAGTTATATAACAAAGTGGCCGGTGAATTTATGTAATGTAAAGGTTGTTATTTCAAAAAACTATATGTGATAGAAAACGACTAGTGTTAAGAAAAAACCGGATGCTATATACATAATGCTGTTATCATCAACCAGAATTACAAAACGCATATGTCTGTCATTATAAAAATAAATTTCTTTAACCCTAAACAATTTTTTGTTATCTGTAAGAAAATTTATGGGGTACACTATTCTTAAAACTTTAGATTTTTACATACATTAGGCTAGTTAAAGTTTTTTTATATATTTCAGCGTCTAATTATATGAAGCATATTTAACTTTATATTTTAATATTATTTTCGAAGAATTTGAAGCCAATAAAACAATTTCTTTTAAATGGCTCGTTTATTAGAAACGCTTATTCAAAATTATTTTCTTCTATACAGTTTATTAATTTTTGGGTATTGGTTTTTATTATTAAAGGAAAAGGGTAGACATATCTTTAGAACTTACACATTCTAATTAACGGTTACTTCTAAATCATAATTATAGTTATTATATTTTGGTGACAACAAGGTAGGGTATTTCGTCTTATTCAAGATTCTTTAACTAGATTGAACTTTCTTTTAAACGTTGATGTTCAAAATTTGACTCGAACTCAGTACCGATCACTTCGAACTCTAACATGTTCCAAAGAGATATTTTTCACTATTTTTAGGTGTTTATATCATCCAGTGTCTGATATTCAGGAATTCATTTGATAAGTCTCTGTTACGACATAAACTTCTCAATATTACCTTTAGCCTCTAGGGTTCCACTTCTGAACAAGCCCATTAGTACCTATAGGTAATATTTAAGCATTTACTTAAGGGACTTATATCTTAAGAAAAACTGGTCAAGTGTACATTCTTGAATATCGAATACTAGAAAATATAACGAATTACGAATTGTTAAAACAGTCTGTTTTTCTTTGTTTCCCGTCCTATAACCTTCTTCAGCTACTCATAAAAAATGATATCAATGAATGTTTCAACTTTTATATAACATTGCCCTGTAAGCTTAGTCATATACGTGACGCTGAAGTTATACATATATATTTCATGTAGAGTTTTCAGTCCTCAATAGCTTGTAATGAGTAACTCATTCATGAAATTATTAACAATTACACTATAGAATTCAGATGATTTGTCAAAACATTTTCAAGAAAACCATGATATCCAACTAATGCTAGTTGCTTATCAATCCAATCTTCATCATTTTCACAGAATCAAAGTTTGTTTAGAAATAAGCCATGTGACGAACATATTTTCGATTCGACTTATTTTATCGACATTATTTCTATTACTAAATTATATTCGCTGCAAAAGTGGATCAACAAATTTCCCTTAAATACATAAATATATAGGGAGTGTAATAAGCACCATTTAGAGAAGAATGAATAATTATTCTTCACAACTTTTCAGATAATCCATTATTTATCTTAGACTGTCTATCATCATTTACAGCATAATGGCAACACTAAGCTAACTTATTATCCAACTATATATGTACGTTTTGACATGACGAATGTATGTCACTTGAAAAACCTTTAGAAACCAGGGGGTACTAGACAAACGTTTTGTCTTTAACTTAAATCTCCCCGTACATTGTTCACTTATAACTACTCACGGAAAGGAACATAAAATATTCAGATTTTATAGTGAAAATGATTCTATTGTACCAGTGGATAGAAATACGATTGTTCAACTCTTCCATTTCTTCGTCTACACTTCTTCAATTGGTTTTAGTTTTTGATAAAAAGACTGAAAAAAAGAATGTGTTCATGTATTATAAAACCAATAAATTTGAGCAGATATAATAAAATGAAATGTCCTAAAGTATATATTGATACATATGCAAATAATAACCATTAAGTCCAAACAACTACTATATATATATAGTCAAAGTTAATTACTGAAGTGGTATCTTTCCTAAAAATTGTCTCTAAACAAAAATTACTATACAACAAACAACTGTTTTCGACTCTTGAATGTATAAGAATTGAAATGATTATAAATGATCGTTCATTTAAATAATCTAGAACTAAATATGCCTGAAGTATGTTACACAGCATATTTTGGAAACGATGTAATCAGAGTTCTAAAATGCATGAAGAGTAAGCACTAGACACTGGTATACATTGTTATGCTATTTATAATAGGTTTTTTATATCATCCTTTTCCTACGCAACACAATCGTGATGACGTTTGTTTTGTGAAAAAATACTGTTTTGTAGATTGCTGCCTGCTATTTAACAATATGTTGTAACCGGACACAGATTGTTTGGGACAATGTGCATGCACTAGGGTTTCTCTTGACCAGATGAAACTCAGTTATATTTTCATAAAACATATACCAGCATATATGACTAAATAAAATTAGAAAAGGACATATAAATTAGGGATGTAAAATAAATCTAAAACTGCGTCTCAAAACAATGATTTCCCATTAGAACTTGAACAGACCATAAGTGTGTAGAGAACAATACTGATGATGATTCATCAAACCCAAGTTATGGAAGTTGTTAAATTAGAAGTTAATACAGATAGTTTGATTTCTGATTATGAAGTTATCTAGTTGGTCCCTTAAACTGATAATAAGTAGAGTTCCCATAAAAAATAAGACGCTCAGACTTATAAATTACTTTAGACAGTCGCATCTCTGTGAAACTCCGAAACATTTAATTAACGTCATTATATAATCAGAAACCAAATTTCCAGTATCCAGAATCTTCAATAGCAATAAATTTTACTCATACTCACAGATTACGAAGTTATAAATGCTTATGAATTGGAGATTAGAACTTTACATTTCGACGCATGTAAAGAATAAACTCATTATTTTTGTCGATATAAACGCTTTCTTATTCAACTAAACTAAATATTGTTCAAGGGTCCTCAAAAGTTGTCTTCATATGACAATTTAACCCTAATGTTAGTCAGCTCATTCAATCCTTATAACACAGTAATCACTCGTACATCTCGTTTTTGTTCACCTTCTAAAAACGGCATTCAACAAAATTCAGTTTGAGGTTACTTAGTCTGTATTACCTTTTTCCTATTGTTCATTCTAGTAAATTTAATACACCACTGTACAGTATTTATGTAAATAACATTATAAATACCAATTCAGTAATGTTTAGTCACTTAAAGTTTGAATGTCACTAGCAATATATATAGTACAATCCTTACGTCGTCTAATAAAATTAAATATACAAGCAACAGTTAATAAAATCTACTGTAAGATTTTGTGTAGTAAGATCAGTGAGTAAACCAACTTATACCTGTTACGCACATATACGTAAATATAAGTGCCACCAATGGTTACTCTGTATTTAAAAAGCTAGGTTATTCTCAAAAGTTACAACTCTTGATTGTTAGGAAGATGACAAGTAGATTTGACAAATGCAAATAATTTATATATAATTGTCTAGACTAATCACCATGAATTTGCATGTCCGCTGTTGTTAAATTTTGTCTTGGATCAAATGATTCAAATTTAGCCGAGTTATCTGTGCTACGGAGTATAAGCATCCATTTAATGTTGACTTCAGAGTTGTTTAAAAATCTACTTACTAAACGTATACACTTAGTTACAGTGGTTTTTCGCTTTAACTGATGTAACATTGTCTCAGTGCATCAAAATCAACATCAAACCTAACCTTAATAAATTCGATAAATTATAGTTCTTTAAATTATTTTCAAATCATTAGGTTGATCGAATATCACCGTCACTTGTGTCTAGTCCAACCTCCTGCGTTCCTGCATCATCACCATCGGGTTTCCTTAGCAAAAATCAATCTGGAGTACCATCGCCTATGGCGTCTATATCTATTTCACCGAACTCATCAACATCCGGACTTCCTTTGCATAATTTACCATTGAATTCGTCTTCTACTTGTACAAATGTTCAAAATCGTCTAAGATCAACTACTGCTGTAAATAATAATAACAGTAATAATAATAACAATGGTAATACTAGCAACAATAATCAAAATATTGCAGCTACTCATCGTTCTCATCCAAATCAATTGCCTTATCCTCATCATCAACATTCACATCAAGTAAATGAACAATTACAAACATCCGGTGGTATTCAACATCAACGACAACATTCACAAGGTCTCCCTGTACAATCTCAGCCAACAAGTCAATCGCTTGTAACGCATTTTCGGTTGGTTCCTTTAAACGAGTCACTTTATATATATATATATATATATATATATATATATATATATATATACCCACACATATTTATAGAATATAACTGTCATTTTTCACTAGACGTTTTTTCAAAGAGGTTTACTCAGAAATTATTTATTCACGGTTTTCGAGTCATTAATTGTATGAAGTTCTGTTGCGATGAACTTTGATCATTTGACATTTTTTAGATTTGCTTTCTAGCAAATTCGAACTTGCATAACTATGGTGACCTTGAATAAAGTCGCCTGTTAAAATTTGTATATAGAGATGCTTCCAAACATCACTGACGTATGATGGAATCACGCAATGGATAACTTTAGTGATTCAGCAGATGGTATTAGACATGACAAAGTCAAATAATGTAGACTAATTTCAATAGCTTGATAGTCAAGACTTTCGAGTAGTAGAATCAATGCATGAAAACGTGAACTAAACCTCAAAGGCATTCATATTTTGTTCTCTACTTGATCTTCAGTTTTAATTTTTCATACTTATCTGTTTTTAATGAATAATATGTCCAACAATGGATTTTCCACTGTAACTTATCATTATTGTTTACACTTTTTGCTTTCCTTCTGTTATTTTACTATTTCTCGTTGTTCAAGTTGTGACAACGCGGGTGAATGTTTACATTTGAGCTATCGCTTACTTCTACTGTTCTCCTTTCAAGCGTTTCAACACTGTATCTGTAAAAGAATAATTAGTTCCATCCAGAATCCTAATTGAAATCAAGATAATAAAATTATTTTTTCACTAGTTAATCTGTGAAACAAAATAAAAGAACTAACATAATTTATTCCATTTTATCTCATTAGTTTGATGGTTTTCATGTTTTCCATTTCACAATGATTAATTAACAACTGTCACTATGCATTTCGAAATATAAAAATGATAATTTAGACGAATATTATTTGATTAATGTATGTAAGCTAACCTTGTATTGATTCTCTAGGAACAAATCACTTAAACAATACAAGTTACTTATCATTATTAATCGATGTAATATCTACTTTACTTTTTGTGGTTAACTTGAAAAATGAATACATTTTAAGCAAAATAATCTTGATCTAAAATCAGAAATATAATTGGTAATTTGGTTGATGGGGTTTTAAGGAAGCTAGTTTAGTTTACATGCTGTATTCGTCACAAATTAATAGTATTCGAGTTATAAGTGAAAATCAAGAAACACAAAACAGTCTTTTCGTCTTAGTATAGAACTCCCTAGTAGTGTGCACCCAGGGTCGCACCAGTGATCAGACCTTTAACTTGTAGTTTGGTGATTTTTATTATTAAGCAACTGTGTATTAGCTTCTTCCTTTTCATTCATAGAACAACTTTTACCTGGCAACCTAATTTTTATGTTTATGTCTGTCTATGATAAAAACTTGAAACTGTACAAAATTTGTACTAAACAATTTGTTTACTGCTAATAGATTTCGAGACAACTAATCCAAAAGTTTGATAAACTAGTAATCCGTAGAGTCGATAAATATGAAAGTAATACAACAACTCACCGACAATGATAAATGAGAATTAGACTATAGATTGAATTGCTTGAAGATTAAAATATAAACTTGTGAACTTATACCAAATGAACTGAACGTATCCTTTTCATTGCAAGTTTTGTAAGTCTCCTGATCCATCGCGCATGAGATTATGGGTGGGCACAGCTGAAAAGCTCTAGATTGGTAAGACCTTGCGTTTGATTTCTCTAATTTATAACTGTTTTTAAGTTGATGTGTATTCGATATCGTACTCAAGTATGTTTACTTAAACCCATCTTCATTTAAGCTTAAAACTAACTGGTTTGCAGTATGTAGATATATGTGATTGTTTTCATACAAACAAAAACTGTACGAGTATATTAGTTCACTGTGGTATCATGAGCATTTTATGTTTAATTTTAAAAGTTCAGAGCAGTTAATCAGCTTTATCAATAACCATCTCACCAACCAGTGCAAAATATGCCTTCATTATTGTTATATGACACATCTATATTTTTAATGTTACCTACTGCGTGTTACTACAATAACGACTTAATTTAAAGGTAGAAAATCACCAAGCATAATGATGAGCAAAATACATTCCAATATGCTCCAGATAAATTCATGTAACTGTAGGTTTTCTTACAACATAACTGAAAAATAAAAGTGATTATATATTCAAGTCTTGCAAGCGTATCCAAATAGATGTGTAAATTTATATTAACAAATTCTATTGTTAATTTATGTCGAAATTCTACCCAATTACTTTTCCCAGTTAAATTTCAGTTTATTTCACCGATATCATAATGTAAACGTACGTTATCAGTACTGCCTAAACAATTATGATATCTAGCTTATTTCCTAAACTGTCATATTCTTAATCTGAAACTCTAAGAAAAACTCATTTAAGATATGTTTATATTAAAATTTAAATGTTCGTTGATATGAAGTCAAATTATTTAAGTATTCTTAATCTCATAACTTGTACATTATATCCTGGTATTTATAAAAATGTACCGTCTCCAGTAATCTCAACTTAGATCAACTAACAAAGTGTTTAGAACTAATGTGTAACTAGTTACTTCATATTTTAGCTTTAGATTATTCTATATGATGCTTTGACAAACTGGCACAGGTCCGAATCTAGAACTTTCTGATATTCGTAACATTTTGTAATAAGACGCTACCATCATCTAATTTAACTGGATTCAAAGCATTTGAATTCATATAAGAAATTAAATATTATCATTAATCATATGCGCCTTGAAGTTTATCAAATGATTTAAAAACAGTCCTGTTGTGGAACAAAGTAATAGTTCCAGAAACGTATGATTGCGTTATGCTGTTTTTATTATTTCCTCTACAGTTACTTGATAACTCAAGGGCGAGCTACATACGTACTGATAAGTAAATATGACTATAAAATGTTAAATATACTTTATTTTCACTACTTTTCTTATTCATAATTTTTATCGTATTTTGTAAAGCTCTTGTAGTCAACCAGTTTCCATGTCCAGTGGTCGAGATTGTGGTTCCAATACAGGTATAATACTAAGTTCAAACTCATCGAGTGTATCTACAGCTACAACAACAGTAACAGGAACTTTGGGTCAGACTCAACTTCGAATTCCTGGAAGTTTAGGTGGAATTCTATCATCAAGTTCCTCACTTACAGGTCTGTGCGGTTCGAATGTAAATACTGGTCAACAAGGGTGCGTTACCGGTTCCATTAGTACATCATCTGGACAATTGGTCCAAGGTCTTGAATGCTTACGATTGAATGCATCAGTTACTTCTACAAGTGCATTAAATAACTCCAATCATGTACTACTTGATCAACAACAAATTCCCAAAACACAACGAGTTCAACAACCCCAATTCATTCTGTCAGCTAACTCTGGTATAGTTTATGGATCAAATATAAATACGGCTGCAGCACGACTTGTTGGTACAGTGTTACCTACTACTCCCCAACCTGGTAATCAACATTCACATCAAAGCAGTATGGACAGTGGAGTGGGTCAATCTCTAACAGGTCAATCAAACCCTAGTGCTAATCAAACTCCTGAGCATACTGTTATGCTATTTTGTGATCCAAGTAAGTTAGGTTAATGATAAAAATTTTAGAAGAGTTACATAAACTTCAGTTTTTTTGTCATCTAAGGACATGTTCAACCACTTATCTCCTCACAACATGTGTTCTTTTTTTTGTCAGAATAAAAAAATGATGTGAATCACAGAAAGGAATTAAAGATAGAAAATTTCAAAATATATAGATCATCAACTTCCATGTAACGTATGCCTATTGTTAAAATGGATATCCTGACAAATAAACAAAGTTGTTTGAGTCGTTTTGTGACAGTTGTCAGACGCTTATTAAAATAAGCACGATTATAAATTTGTTTGATAACACATTGAGTTAGCGTAGATATTACTAGATGTAAAATGGAATTATGAACTGAGTTGATATTTTTCTTAAAATTATTATTCTACGAGTGACTAGCACTTCATGTTTACAACTCGTTAGTAATACATACATTCATTTGTAAACTGTGTAATAATAAGTGTTATAATAAACTCTTAGATATATAAAAATCGGATTAACAATATAATAATGTATTAATGTCCCATGATATTTAATTGCTTAACATTATGTAAGTAATAATAGCTGATCTTTTCAATTTCAAGTAGTTGCATACTTACGTATTTGACGTTAATTGTTATGATGCTTAAAAACATTTTAACACATATATACAACATTTCGGTATAGTTGCTTTTGACAAAAAACTACACTAATCAATAAAATGAGTAAGAGTTGAGCACGACTAACAACAGTCTGTAGATTTCAATGTAGATTTTGAAGAGCTGATATAACATTAAATAAATTAGCTCTCCTCTTTATTTTGATACCGTCCAGGAAAAATGTTTTCTAAATACTTACCTGACAGTATATATTTCATCTACAGTCATATACCACTTCAACATACAGTTTATAGTGTCATTATAAGCAGTAGAGATGACGAATAGCATAAAACTAAAAATGGCGATATGTAATCGATGGTAATAGTTCAGACTGCTGATGAAGATACAGCCAACCAAATAATTTCTAACACAACAGTTCGTTCATTTCTTTCATTAGAAGCACAATGCAATGACATTGTATTGCCACACCAAGATGTGTTTTTCGCGAACCCACGGTGTTCTAAGTCAATAAGTGTTTGACTGACATAACCTTCTTTCTATGATGTAGTATCATTATTGTTAGTCTATAAGTACACCTACAAGTACAAAATCTAGTTTAAAGTTTTTGTGATAATTCTCCTCAGTCAACTAATGATAGTGTTGAACCATAAGTTTAAGAGCAACTATGAAACTAATGACAAAGTATGAAAGGTTTTTGAAGATAATTTTACTTTCTAGTTTACATCACAGGCTGATAAAATAATAATTATATGCTTATTATCAGAAGCGCATGCGCGCGAACGCTTAACCCTTATACCCCTTGAGACTGATAGATCCTGGGTTCGAATCTCGCTGGGGGGCCGGACCGCGGATGCGCACTGCTGAAGAGTCTCACAATAGGACGAAACGGCCGTCCATTGCTTACGGATTTTCCATGGTGGCCTAGTTTCAATTGACTCATGATTTCAACTACTGAAATTATATGTTTACTTATAATTAATTTCAAAAGATGGTTACCCTGGTTCAAGTGAGAAGTTTTAACTAATTAAGTTTCATCATATCAGATGTGTGATATTTACCTTCTAACTGGAAGTTGGTTAGGCAATGTCACAAATCAACTGAAGTCAAGTCCACTCAGTGGTCAAAAGGTCAAGTGTTGACCTTGAAACTTCAAAGTCTTAGTTTTACTCCACAATGAGATCGACGATGCTTACTACTATTAACACTACTACCACTGAGGAAACTTTTTTAGCACAAAACAACCATGAAATACTTCCTAATTTAGATAAATGTCTAAGGTTAATCCATCAAGTAAACTATAAAAACAATATGCTTGCACATAATTCAATAAGTAGAACTGGAATGTAAATAGTCATTAAATTTATTTTAATATAAATATCATAACAATTATTACTATTTTGTATTGTATTCGTGTATTCATATATAATTGTAAAATAGAAAAACATTTTATCAATTATCAGTAGGTTGATTAATCAGTATACTTTTTTTTAATAGAAAAACAATATATTTCATTTAATCTATTTATTATTGACTATCATCAGTATATATTCAATGTATGGTAAAATATGAATGTTATAATCAGTTGAATTGATAGGTATTTTCTTTTAATAAAATAATAATATCTTGCAAAGAAACACTTGATTAATCGTATGTTCAAATTCGCTACTTTATTTTATATAAATATAAACAATTTATAAATAATAATAATAATAATTAATTAATTAAAACTAATAAAAATAGTAAGTTTTAATTTGTTTTATACTATCAATGAAGACCACGTGATAAATCATCTTATGCGTTGATGTTTTATTAATAATATTGATCAAATTACCATTATTAATTTAATAGTAAATAAAAGTTAAGGCAAATTTATTTTATTATTCATTAAATACAATTATATCTTTACAGACAGAGAATGAGTAAGAATTTAATTAGTATTACATAAGATTTGTCATAAATGTATTTTATTAGTAGGGGTTTTGTGAAGATTTTAGAAATTTCACTAGTTAAAATCATGAGTCAATTGAAGCTAGGTTTTTCATGGTGGTCTAGATTCAATTGACTCATGATTTCAACTAGTGAAATAAGTATATATATCAATTTAAGTTACCATATATTACACTCAAAGGATGTATTATGACTATGAACAGAAATCGGTTGTAAATATTTTGAAATGGGTGGAAGATTTATAGTCTTGATGGATTTTCTGATTGTTTTGTATCTCCTTAGTTCGATAGTTTAAGTATGAAACATTCATTGTCATTCTGCTCTTATTTCACTTGGGAAATAAATGAAAAGTGAAAATAGTTAATAGTATGCTTTCCAATAGCAAATTAACTTACGATCATATAAGTAAAAAGGACCAAATAATTTTAAAGAGTGAAGTATGGAGTCACACTATAACTGAAGATTCTTTGAAAGATTGAACAAAAAGTGCTTTATCATTCCAGATTTCCAAACATACAGTTACTTTGTGGACTCCAATTAAGAATTTTGTTCAGAACTATATGAACCGGTTTTATAGATCTACATGTAGTCTCATTGTTCCACCTTTAAGCGGTGAACTATTTATTAGTTTTATTACTCTCATTAGTATCAGTGACATATTTCCATAAATAAAAACAGTTGAAACGTTCTCATGAATTTCTGTACTCATAAAATAAATTCATATATCCTTTAAATAATAATAAAAAACATTCTTTATTAATTGAGATTTGTTTAACTATGTGTATGCACAAGAATAAATCCACATACATTATGTATTTAATAAGTTAATTTATGAGTTAAAAGCTACAAACTACTTTTAGACTTAATTTTCTTTAAAGACAATCTTATATAAAACTGAATCAGTTAACAGACAAATTACTTAATAATCCGATAAAATGATCACTTTTTACTTGATAATTATTAACTGTTAGTTGGTTCAACTTGGTTCATTTGGTGTATTTGAATAGTACATAGCGAATAAGACGATGATGATGTTGGTGGTGATGGTAGTGATGATGATAAAGAAGGTCAAAAAATGAAAAATTTAAAGAGTAGGCCTTACACTGATTGCATAATATGAAACTTGTAAGTATATTTACTGAATTTACACTGCGAACGTATGAATCCAAAGAACTGACAATCAATCGATATGATATAAAAATTTATATGTAGCAAACAGAATTACCATCACAATCGATGAATTTTGTTTGTTCTGAAGGAATGTTTTTATGAGAAAATTAGGGTAACTCACGTTTCAGTAAGATCACTATCTTATTTTCTTAATTCTCTTGCCTCGTTCTCGGGGATTCAGACCAAGAAAGTAGGGTAAACAACCAAAAAATAAATCAGTTAAACAAATGACTCATCATGACATTTATTTTGAAATAAGATAGTTAATTGACTTTTTTCTTGAAACTTAGTAGGTGTAACCTGATTTGACAACAGATTTATGAAAATATTTTATTTTTTAATTTAAATTTGTAATTCCTAATCAATTGTTCTGAGAAATTTAAAAAGCTTATTTCATACTACTGATATAATCGAAAGAATGGTATTTATTAGTGAAAATTGATGAGCCGTCGATAGCGCATACTTAATTGGTAAAATTTACCATATACCTGTATTTCCGTGTGATATGTATTTTAAAATATTTAGAGAATAGTATTTTGTGGTTGCCTTCTGGATGGTTTAGAAGTAATTTTGTCGATTTTATTGAGTAATATTGGTTACTGATAACGATAAAATCGATTGCATAACTAAATATAATATACATAAAATTCTAATCGATAGTAAGATGAATGGTGTACTAGTAGAAGTGAGAATAACGGAAGTTTGAATTAACGTTTGAGTGTAGAAAGTAGGTTAAATCTTGGAAAAAAAAATGTAAACATTGGAATAACAATCATTAAAAATTAGTGAAATTACATAATAAGAAAAGGATTCAAATAATTAGAGAATTATATTGAGCATACCTCCAGACAACTTAATTAATAAATAAATATATGCATCTCTGTGTGAGTTAGAAAGGGTTAGACAAAAACAACACGCAGATCTAGTTTATCACACTTGGTTGACACTGGTCACAATGTAGATAGAAATCGTGTTATTACCTATATACCTTCGTCATTTACCAAGGGGTTTCGTCATATCTCCTACATACAGCAAACGCTATCAGGCAAAAAAGTTAAGTGTTAATAATATCCATGACGATAAGGGTGTAATTTGAGAAGCATGAAACGGTTTGGATGGATAGGTTATTTATAATATATCATGAAACATACACATGGCAAAAATAAAACCAGTCCAAATAATTTCTAAACTCATATGTTAGGTACATATCTGAAAAATTCCACTGCTTGCATTGCATATAAAGTATTAAATTTTAAATCATAGAATACACTGAATAAA